CATGTGAGCATCTTACAGAGGACAAATGTTGACATCATGACCCAAAGATCATACATTAAAATCTCACACAATCCTCACTGTGGTGATGACCTAGGATTCCGAAAAATATCTGTACGAGGAAACTTAAAAATGACTGTTGATGATGTATTGTCATATTGATGTTTGGGAGCGGATCCAAAAAAGGTGTTACTGAAGCTCCATGCACGAGTCCTATGTGGATTTAAAGGTGCTTGGACACAGATTTGAAGTTAATATTTTCTCAAGTTTTTGGTATAATATCATGACTTATATGTTGCAATAGCATTTCAAACGGAAATAAATAAAAAAAACTTATTTTATTTGGAAATTATTGAAACTACAAATTTCGGGACGCGTTTGATTGATACATCCTAGCACTTTCATAAAACAAACTTTATCCTTAATGCTTAAGAAAAGTAAAAAAATTTTTGTATATTAATGAAATATATTCAAACTATAATCCAGACAATTCAGAGTGGAAATGTAAGAAAGCAAAACCAACTCACCAGTACTGTCAGTCCGTTCTCAGTGATGTGTGCAGAGTTTAACAAATTGAACACACCCGGTGAAACGTTAAACATTAACAATAACAGAGCTCTTGCCCTGATTACAAAAACAGTTTACGTTTCACGGGTTTTGCTTTCTCACATTTCTACTCTTTATTTTCTGGATTATAGTTTAATATGGATTTTATAGTTTAATATTTTTCACAAAATATATTTGTTATATAATACAGGATTTTTGCATCCCTAACATGAGCACAGGCACGCGCCCTGTATTGCACCCTATATTTCACCCTTTATCAGACCCTTTATTACACCTTTCCGGAACACCTCTGTATTTTTCATTCGGAGTACCTCGGATCTTTTCCTATTTCTTTCCAAAGTTTATTCAAATTGTAATTTTATTTCATCAGACATATTATGTTATTCAAAATTATCATTTGTTTGATTTATAATAATTTCATTTCGTATCGCTGAATGCATTTATATGCCTTTAAAAAAAGATTGAGAAACGGAAATTCAACAAAAACAGAACACATTCAATTATTAAAAATTCAGTAATTAATTTACAAGTTTATATATGATTTTTAGGACACTATTTTCAAATATATAATAAAAACAACAATACAAGACAAAATCTGTATCACACCCCATATCAACCCTTGACCAATATCAGCCCTCTGGCCTTCGGCCCTCGGGCTGATATTGGAGTCTCGGGTTGATATGGGGTGTGATACAGATTTTGTCATGTATTATTCTCTATTAAATGCACAACAAAATTTCTACTTTTCTTAAGTATTGAGGATAAAGTTTACTTTGTGAAAGTGCATAGATGTGTCAATGAAACGCATCCCGAAATTTGTAGTTTCAATAATTTCCAGACAAAATAAGTTTTTTTTTTACTTTATTTCCATGTGAAATGCTATAAAAACATATAAGTCATGATATTGTACCGAAAATTTCTATCACCTTTAATAGCAACCAAAATTATAGGGTGCCCCCATATCGAGAATGAAGATCGTGTTCAACATAAGACCGGGAATTCTAGGGCTGACAAAAGTTGTCGTCTTAAGTTTGTGATGTAACTGATGTTATGTACTTTTTTAATTAATTAGTATCATCCCTAAATTTGTTATTACAGTATCCGCAAAATATATTCACATATAAATTGTTCTTGAAATCAAACAAAGGTATACATACTATAATACTGTGTCATTCATGACCATTGACACTAGAAATACATACATTCAGTTGTTGCATTACCTTTTTATTGTCCTTTACATGTAGTTTTCATATTGTACAACGTGCGAAGGGGGGTGGGGGTGGGTCCACATCCATACAGTGTCAATTCTCCGGGACTACTTTTCCCTTACGAATAATTATATGGAGTTGTAGCGTAACGTAATACTAAGCTGTCTGGAGCTTATACATGTGTTAAAAAATTGTTACGAGTTTCCGGATAATAAATAGTGAAATAAAAAATGTTGGAAGTAAATTTTGTTTGAGTATGCCTCAGCTGCAATTAACACAATTTTTTTTCAAAGCTTCTCACTTATTGTGATGTCCATTATTTACCGCGCCAGTCCATGTGCTGATCCAGGAATCTTTTCAAGGGGTGAGGTCCACAGCAACCAAAACAAATGCCGGACTAAGAAATTTGTTGACAAGCATAAAAGAGAGACAAGAAAAGACTTGTCAAAACATGAAAAACCTTTTTTCGTGAAAGAAAGGAGGAGGGGGGTTATTACCGTAACTAAGAATAAATTACTTTCATAATGTACATGTATGCATGGCTCTCCTTACTATATTACTAGGGGTCCGTGTTTCCTAGGGGTGTCGGGTGTCTCCAAGGTTTTCAATCTCTTTCGTTTTACAGAAATTTGAAAACTCTTCATATCCCGAGAATCTGCGGAATCATCACACGACATTATATCAAATAAATGTAAAAACAGGCCATTGCAATTTTTGAGGTTCTTATTCATTGTTTAAAAAAAAAACAACTTTTGGATCTAAGGTATTTACATGTAGGAAAGTTTTCTTTGGCCGAAGTATAGTACTACAGTATAGATATAGTATATAAATGTCTCCCTTTTCCTCGATACAGCTAATTCATCGGTATAATATGACATATCAAAACAAAATGAACACATATCGGCGTTTTTTTTTCATTATTTGTATTACTTACCACTGGCGGATTTAAGGGGGGGGGGGGGGGGGCTGGGGCGCACGCCCCCCTTCTAAAATTTTCTAAGTATGACATGACTAATATTAATAATGCCATACTTGGTTTTATAATTAATGGTCAATTTAAAAAATGGTAATTTTATTTAATGACCAAGTATCGGTTTTCTTAAAAATCAAGTCTGAAAACCTTGCATTCCCTAGGCTATAAATATTATCTCATAATTATTCAAACTGGAAAACGTCCCCCCCCCCCCAATCACAAATCCTGTATTCCCCCATGCTTACAATTATAAGATATATGAATTATCTTAGACCTAGCTATAAGTCTGCGATTTCTTTGCTTCAATATTCTACAGCCTTTTCCACTTGTAGCTACTTTATGACGTAACAATAAAGTAATACGTCACTTTTGATACCAAAGTTCAAGATTTGCATCCTAAATTGCGTCTCTTAACTGACAGTGAAATGAATAGGTGGATCACAGATCTTCAATTTTTTCGTTGCTTTTTTTAGCACTAAAACATAGTAGTATCATTTCCTCCTGTGATATGTTGCCACTATCTTTAAGGAGTATCTCTCTACACTATCAGAATTTATTCTTGCATCAAAATAAATATTCTTGAACTGACATATTTTTCATCTTTATGAAAACAACATTCACCAAGGAAAAAACAAACTCAACAATAAATACGAGTGAACAAAAGATGAAAAGTGAACAATTAGAAGAACAGAAATACCTGTAATATTAGCTGCAATAGAAAGATAAATTTATTGTGCATTAAAACTAAATTATGCGTGATAGAGTTTCGAAAACTTTTCATTACAAGTCTCTATGTGTATGCCTTTATTAACATTGGATAAATTATTGCCTAACACCGTCTTAAGTATGTTATGAATGAAATTGCAATTCCCGTTACACTTGGATCCACCTACATACTCTCACTCAGTGCAGGGAGTGAATATGACGTCACAGCGGAAGTGACGCCGAGTTGTGTCTGCAGTGGCTATGTTTAGGACGAAGGCAGCTACATTACTTCGTATTTTGCCGTATTTTCAACGCATGTAATCGTATTGTTAACATTTTTTATTTACTACAGCATTTCCTCGGCGATATTGACGCGACAGGTGGGATTTTTTGAATGTAATCTGCAAGGTTAGTGAAAAATTCGAGAACGTTGAAATGACATGCCCAGTGAAATGACTTACCAGGGCTAGACAAATAGCATTGCCCGACGCCCGGGACAACCAATTTTGTTTGGCGGGCAAGTTATTTAATAAGTGGTACCTGCCCACGGACAAGTGCTTCTCCAGTTTACAAAAAATCAAATGTTGCTTGTTTTATCACCGTTGAAATGTAATCCTGTACGAAAATTTACGCCCTGACCTTAGGCGGAAATCAAAAGACGGAATCCGCCTTTATCTATAAAGAACTTAATAAGACTATTAGACGGAGTCCGGGTGGAATCAGGGCGGAATAGGGCTCGAAATATTTAAATGAGTTAAGGCGTATTCCGCCTTTCCTAATATGGATTACTTTCAAGGCATATTCCGCCTTACCTGCAAGGCGTATTCCGCATTAATGGCAAGGCGTATTCCGCCTTACTTAGGATAGGCGTATTCCGCCTTACTAGCAAGGCGTATTCCGCCTTAATGGTTAGAGGGATTTTGCATTAATGGTTACATAATCTGCCTATCACTGTGTACATCAGCTATTGTTGTTTCAGACTTTTACAAACTTAACAATTAAAAAAAATGAAATTATACAAATTATAAATCATTTATTTACAAGTTCTTTAAAATTCCGCCTTAATGGTTAGAGGGATTTTGCATTAATGGTTACATAATCTGCCTATCACTGTGTACATCAGCTATTGTTGTTTCAGACTTTTACAAACTTAACAATTAAAAAAAATGAAATTATACAAATTATAAATCATTTATTTACAAGTTCTTTAAAATTCAATGACTAAAAAAATTTTACATTTGAAAATGTTATGCCTTGCCTTAAATTCACATGAAATAAAAAGATAAAAAATATTGTACCAAAACTTGATTTTTCTTCATACATCTACTTAATAATGTGACTGTCACAGTTGAATTAACAAATAAAAAAAGAAAGACAAAACCGATGTTTAAAAGTCAATTCAACAAAACAATTAGCTGTTAATTTACCACTGGTTGATTATTTTCACAAAATTCTTTCTGTCTGCAGGGAAAGAGTGTGTCATTTTTATTGTTCTTCTTCCTAAGTTATCTGGAATAACTAAATTATCTTTTCCATGATTCAAGCTTTAAATCCTTTGCCATTCTTCACACACGGTGACCACATGTTGAAGTCTATAAAGAAAATACAAACTGAGATGAATTTCTCGTTTTAAAACAACTCTTCAACATTTTTCAATAAAATGACTCTTTTATGGCATTCTATTCTGTATTACAGATCAGGATGCAAACAGTCTTGTCTAATTTCTCTCAACACTAAAACTTACAAAATATAAGAATAATTTTTCATATATTTATCAGACGTCTGATGTCTTCATGTATTCTTACCTCTCATAACCTCCAATACAGTTGAATGAAGCACAGGTGTTAGATTGCATTCCTTTTTCCCATGAATCTTCGGCAAGCTCTCAAATGAGAAGTCTAAGCAACATTGCCAGTTTACTCCTAAGGGTGGATGGACAGTGACTTCTGGCCTTCATCCTGACTTGCTGCAGTTGCCGCAGTCCTCATTTTACCTTTATCGGCCAAAATTGCCGAGGACTTAAAAAGCTCGAAGTGCTGAAATGTATAACACTGCACTGCAGAAAATCCTAATATCTACAGTTTTAAATTTGACTTAAATAGGTTTTTAATCTTATTCAATTACTTTTCATAATCTTCATATATTTGTAAAAGGTAATAACGTAAGACCCCATTCTACAAACACTTTTAATTTACATGTATATTCAAAAGCTGCTCATGAAATATGTAGATCTAACTTAAATGAATATACTCATATCCATGTATGTTTTGAAATGTACATTTGCAGCTGCTTATTGAATAATTAGGAAAACTATAGTGTAGATGCATCAACGTTATGACGAATGGTACACTTCAATATGGATGAAAAAATAAATTAAAAAAACTTGTTCAAATTTCACCCCAAAAATGTATTTTAAGAATTCATCAAGGTAAAAAAAAAAAGAAGAATTCCATGTACATGATGTATATATTAATATTCTAAATGATGACTTACATCTCAGAACCTGACTCCTAATCCGAACTGAGCAGCGAACTACACTTTTAGAAGGGTGTCTATGTCACCATTCCACTAATAAACCACTGGTTAATCCAGTGCTAACACACATCATATCGTGATTTTAAAACTGGAAGTAACTACAGGTCGCTAATTTTAAAAGGAAATCGTATTTCCGGAAAACACATACGCAAAGTGAAAAATAAAATTACAAAAGTGCATGTTGATTAATAATTGACAAATGAATTAGTAATTTTTTTTATCCTTTATCTTTGTACTTTTTGATATTTAATATTTTAATCTAAAAGGATATATTCATAACATTGAAAACAAGAAACAAGGGGGGGGGGGGGGGGGACTACCCTACATTAGGCAAAAAGAAATGGCGCCTGAAATTTTATGCGCAAACTTTTTTTTAACATTCTGGGTTAGTGTAGAGTATAATGTGAATATAGGGCCTCAGTGCTATTCCAGTTGGAATTAATTATCGGAAGTAATGGTGGAGAGTGGTGTGTACATATTTTGGCTGTACGAATTCAAAAAAAGAGAGAAAAGAAAAAACACCGCTAAAAATTTTAACTTACCATTGTCTTTCACAGTTACATGTATTCCTGTACAGTGTTTAGAGGTTCTTCTTTGTCCATTCAGCATGTTCACCGAGCATAATTTGCTTCACTTCAAAGCTTAGTTAAGAATAACACCAAAAGTTGGATTTTATCACTCTTTTTTCCAAAAACACATAACAAATCATCTTCAGAATAGTAATTTACAGGCATACATCTTGCCTGAGTTCCTTTTTAAACTGAATAAGATATAAAGATTCATCAACCAAATTGACCAACAGTCATCACTTTCAAAATCTGCATTCAAACTGACCAATGCATTCAAAGAGAGGCTCTGCCTGAAAACTTCCGCCCCCTGTAGAGGGTGGTCAAGCAGGAACGCATTAGAAACGTATATCTGATACACAATATGGCTGCAAAAAATTACTCCTCTAGGAAACGCAATCTTCAATGTAATAAAAAGCCTAATATTCAAAGTCTAATAACTGGATTAAAAGCCATGTTTGACTATTTTTTTCGAATATCTCCCCCATTAGTGCCTTTAGAAAACAAGGTCATCTAGAGGAATGAAACATGTGGTCATAATTTAAACTGTTCATAATTTAAAGATTAATGCAGAATCCGTCTAAGAGCTAAGCCGGAAAACGTCTAACAAAAATACGCCTCAGATTTAAGGTGGAATCCACCTAAGATATGAGGCGGAAAACGGTTAAAGCTAAGACGTTTTCCATGTCCGCCTTTAGTACGGCTTAGTCCACCTAGCACTTAACCGGAATCCGTCTCAGTTCACCCGGACTCCAGGCGGAAAACGGTTAAGAGTTTCGTACGGGTTGAATCACAGTAGAGCACCTGTTTTTCGCTGCTGTTCATCACTACATCGAATACTCGGTCGGAACTCCTCTAGAATTTACCCATTTATGTGTAGTTAAAATACACACAGGACGTAAAACATAGCAGCTATCGATTTCATGTCAAAAAAGTTGAAGAGGATTTTAGACCTTTTTAGGTATTGTAAAAAATAATGTAAAAATTCATGCCGTGAGTACAAACGTGTTATACTGATATTAAAATTGGAGCTGTTGACTGGCAATCACTGAGAGTCACAATCGACATGCAGTGGTGGTTTTCATAATCAAATACTTTATAATATTCAAAAAAAATTTTTTTTTTCTCTTTCAGTATTTTTGGGATGTTAAAGTAATACTGAGAAAAGTTTAAATTATGCGCACTGCACAAGCTAAGAAATCTCCCTGGAACAAGACTTACCCCTAAATTTTTCCGTGCAAAAAATTAAGTGATTTTATGTCTACTTTGGTCCCCATGTAGTGTATCAGTTGAGAAATAATTTAAAGAAAAAGTGGGACAAGCATATTTTTTGGTAGGACAAGTAATTTTACGATGGTAACCTGTCCGAGGGCAAGTACTGAAAAATTCTATTTGTCTACCCCTGCTTACGATAGAAATTACGAAAATTACGCATGTTGGTGAGGATTCTTGAATATCTTGAGTGCAAAGACCGCATAATATTCAGAACACGGATGTTGAAATGATTTTGGGACGTTTTTTATTGTTGTAGTGTTGAAGGCTCGAGGGGGTTAGTCATGCCTGGCACAACTAACCCCTATGGTGCGCGTGCGCTAACTAACCCTTCTGAGACTGAACAAACACTGACTAAGCCTTGGTTTTAGGCCAAGTCCACAAAATAAAGTCCAAATAAAAAAGAACACCAGCACAAACAACATTATATAAGAAAAATAAAATTGATAAACACAAAATCATTATAAATTAAAGAGAAAGAATGAATTCAAACATATTATTAGTGGTATTACTATATAATAACCCAACATTTATTGGAATATTTCTTGTTAGTTGGCAAAGTTAGTTAAGACTAACCCAACATTTATTAGAAAAATTATTGTTAGTTAACTAAGTTAGTTAAGACTAACACAAAAAGAAATGGAAATTCTTGTTAGTTGTTAAGTAAGTCTGACTAAGGGCTTTTTTCTTGAAAACCCCAAATTCCAATAATCAAAATAATTCCAAATTCAAATAATACACTGTTTTAATATTAAATGCTTGATTGTGGTGTTTTATTTTTTCATATATATATATATATATATATATATATATATATATATATATATATATATATATAAATATATATATATATATATATATATATATATATATATATATATATATATATATATATATATATATATATATATATAAATAAATATATATATATATAAATAAATAAATATATATATATATATATATATATATATATATATATATATATATATATATATATATATATATATACTTTATTTCAGAATTGGTTGGGAAATTACCACAAATCCAAAAGTGGACATGGTAAATTGGTTCAAAGGAAGACACTCCCAGCAGTAAGGCCAACTGCTTATTCCTTATTTTGTAAGGAATACTCCAAGGGTAAGATCTGACTATTAAAATTTTAAAAAACCTTTTTTTTAAACTTTTCCAATGAATTATAATTCACTTTGAAACTTATAGAATCTGGTAAATTTAATCCAATAACCAATCAAGTTTTGATATAGTTAAGTGACAGTTCCCTTTTTTAGGTCACCTGACTCACTCAGGTGACCTATTGATATATGTTTTCATCTGTCGTCGTTCGTCGTCAATCGGTCGTATACTTTTGAACATTTTTAGCTTCTTCTCTGAAACCACTGAACCAATTTCAACCAGTTTTGGCATATAGCATCAATAGGTGAAGAGGAGTAAAAATTGTGAAATCCATGGCTCTTGCCCCCCTGGGGCCTGAGGAGTGGGGCAAAAACCACTAAAATTAATGCAATCTTTAAAAATCTTCTTCTTTGCTCCTGGACATCAAGCAGTCAAACTGTTCGCATGATTGTACATGTAAGAAGCAATGAGCCCTCTACCAAAATTGTGAAATTCATGGCCCCAGGATCAGGAGTTCCGGTGCTAGGATGGGGCTCTATTGAATTTAGTGAAAATGCATTATTTCTTAAAAAATCTTCCCCTCTGCTCGTGGGTATTAAGCCAATGAACTGTGTACATAGTTATGATGAGGAAGGGTGCCTCTTCCAAAATTGTGAATTTCATGGCCCCTGGGTCAGGGGTTCTGGTGTTAGGGCGGGGCTCTATTGATTATATAGTAGAAATGCATTAATTCTTTGAAAATCTTCTCTTCTGGTCCTGGGTTTTATGCCGATGATCTAAGTACATAGTTATTATGAGGAAGGGTGCCTCTTCCAAAGTTGTTAATTTGATGGCCCCTGGGGGGTACCTGTTGGCTGGGGGGCCCCTAATGATTATATTCTGAAATTTAATTAATGCTTTTAAAATCTGCTCTTTGTTATTAATCAAAAATTTATGATGAGCAAGGGTACCTTTCCCAAAATTGTGATATGTGTGTCCCCAGGGTCAGGGATTCCTGTGAGGTGGGGCACTACTGATTATATGGTGGAAATGCATTTTTTCTTTGTTCTTCTGCTCTGCCTCTTGGTATTAAGTAATCAAAGTAAGCATGCTAAGTGTAGAGTTATGATGAGCAATGGTACTGCCTCCTTCAAAATCGTGAATTTCATGTCCTCTGGTTTAACACAAGAACCAAATTCAATTGCTACATGATACTCAGGTGACCTATAAGGCCCATGGGCCTCTATTTGTCAAATAATATTATTTCATTGTATCTTCATTTCCTTTTTTATAACCTGATGCCACATACATTCATACATATATTTATTAAGTTTTATTAATTTAGTAAGAAAATTATTTTACATTATTATCTTGATTACATGCATGTTCTATTTCACTTGAAAAATACTCAAATTTGTAGATCATCCTGGCTTTAATCCTTCAATATGGAAAATGGAGTGGGAGGCAGCTGGAGAGAAGGAGAAAGAGAGGTGCGCAAAGATGGCGAGGGAGATGTCAGAAGAGGGGGGAAGTGTATCAACAAATGATGATCCCACTACTCAGAAGAAGACCATTAGAACCCTTCTGAAGCAACTGGAATGGACTGTAAATACCTCAGATTTTGATATTTATATATTTAGTAGAGATTTTTGATTTTTTACAATTATTCATGTTAACCTAATTATTTTTGCCTCTACTGCTGTGGATTAATAATTGATTATGAAGGACTAATATTCATGGATTTCATGAATTTAATCTTGCCTATGAATTAACATATCCACAAGGGACATCTTACAATGTATCAGTACACTACAACGAATGTTTTGTAAATATGAAATCATTATGACCCCAAAATCCAGTTAAATTTTGGTTGTCAATGTGCAACAGAGACATTTATCTGAATTGGCTTCGGATTGAATCCAGGGACTCTGGCATGCCAGTCCAGTGGGTTAACCCACTAGTCCAAGCTAGTAGGATGCCATGTACTGTATCTAATGTACACTACCACATATGAACCAACCACCACAGATTAATATGATTTCCCTTTGTGATAGTTTAATCCAAACCTGTTTTAATTATCACAATAATGTAAACAAATTAATTAATTTGTTAATATTATATTCATAAATGCATGCATGTACTAAGGTATGCATTGTTTATGTATATAAATTAAGTCACTCAAAACAAACTTATTTCCTGACTAGAAACAGACAGTATTTTTTAGGGCTGGGACGATATATCGAGATATCGATAATATCGATTCAATGTGAGGATGATACGCATATCGATACGTATGAAGAAATATCGACATATTTCCCAAAAAATTCTGACTAATGTTTTTCTTTGTTAACTTAACATTTTGGGTTTAATATGTAAAATAAATATGCTTAATATAAATATGAATATGAAATACATAATAATTAAGACCAAAATAATTAAGTTTTACAACAGATATACAACTTCTTTGAATAAATTATTCTTATTTGTGAAGAAATATCTTGTTCATTTCAATATAAAAAAAAGAATTTATAACCAATTTAACATATCGTGATACATATCGTATCGTGGCTCAAATATCGGGATACGTATCGATATAGAAAAAGTTGTATCGTCCCAGCCCTAGTATTTTTATAAAAATAGGAGGAAACTTATAGAAAAGATTTTGATTAAATGAAGTATTCAATTTTTCTCTATCAAATATTTTGGCTGGTATAATCATAATTTCAGCTAGGTAAAAATATCAGGTACTAGCAGATTTTGAAAGGCCTGTTTTATTATAACTGTCATGTTTATGATGTCATTTAATCTCCATTTTTTGTTGAAAAGAATCTGTTTTCATATTACATATCATGAAAATTATAAGTATCAGGTTTTTGCAGTCATCTTGGGACCAAAAAATGCTGATTTCTTGACTTCTATTTGAGTCTTCTTTTAATTGAACTCATTTTGATAATGTAAAATGATCTATATTTGTAGAGTAGGCGATTGGAAAATATGGGCTTGCCCAATTTCGCTTTGGTGGCTGAAAATAATACTGTCCACAGCGTTGGAACAGGGAGGGGTCGAGAATTCCTTGATCGTGAGGATATTGAACCAAATTTCAGCCGATTTTGTAATCAAGGTTAGTAGGTCTATAAATTGATATTGGTTTATATGTTAACTTTTGTAATAATCGATAAGGATTACGTGCCATAAGGCCCCCGGTAATATGACAAAAAAATAAAATCTTAATTTTACTCTAATTCATACATGCACTTAATTGTTGATATGTGTATCATTATAAAAATACTGCATGTAGTTGAGTGTAACATTGAAAATTTTCACTCCAAGAAAACCATTGTCAACCGAGGCACAGCCGAGGTTGACAATGGTTTTTTCGAGGGGTGAAAATTTTCAATGTTACACTCAGCTACATGCAGTATTTATTATATTATACTGAATGTTTTATACAAATACATATTACAGTGAACCTTGCGTGCATAAATTCTGCACAGTCAATATTTTTTGGAATAACACCCTTCGTCAAGCAATGTTGACTGTTGCTATGCTGGAGGGCAAGGCTTCATTAATAGTGTTTTTTAACAAATGTTTCTCGATGAATCAGATTCTAATAATTTACGTGAAAGTATAATATCATGGAATACCACTTTTACCAAAAACAAACACCATGTGAAAGATTAAATATTTTTGGGGGGTATATACCCAAGTCAAAGTGGAAGGCAGTTCTTTAGCAGTTTTTTAACCTTAACAGTTCAGTGCTTTAGCAGTTCTTAGACAGTTTACTAGCCTTCTCCTCTGTTGGTGGCAGAAGGTTTTTGTCATACTGATCATTAGGCAGTTTTCTTAGCAGTCCACAATTTAAGCAGTACTTAGCCAGTTCATTAGCAGTAACTTAGCAGTTGCTTAGCAGTTTCCTTAGCAGTATCTTAGCAGTCAATAGGAAGGTTAAGGAGAACTGCTTAAAAACTGCTTAATAACTGCTAAAGGTGTTTTCTTTTGTTTGCTCTACTTATATGGAAATGACTCTGAGTGACCTACATATAAATTTGAAAATTGATTAACTGCTTAAAAACCGGTAAAAAGAATGCTATAAGTACTATTCTTGTCTACTTATAAGAAGATAACACCACCCATATACATGATATATGAATACAAAAATGCATATAATTTATGCTATTGAAAAAATAACATCACATATGGGAATTTAACTTAGTATTGAGATTTAGATCAGGTATGAATTGTATTAAATAAGTCCTTTCATTAAGTCCATTTTCTTGCATAAACGAGTGGCAACTTTAGAGCTTGGTTAATTAATACAGTGGACTAATCTACAGATCCCTCTATCAGTATAGCTTAAATTTATCTGCAAATATTTTGAATTTATACCAAGTACTAATAATTAAAATACAAACTAGATTATACGTTTTATAGTTTAACAGTTATCCAAATGAGAGTGGGGATGACTATTATATCACAAGCCCACACACTTACCATATTTTCTGAAGCATAATACTTTACTGCCAACAAATCTTTTAAAAATTTTCCTATATCACTCAATTCCATTGTTGCTGAATGCATGTATGATCAGATTTTTATAATAATGATTTCCCATCTCATGGAATTTAATTCAGATACACTTGTCACTAAATATTATGTTCACATCCAATCCTGGATGTGGTGATCACAGATAATTGTATTTTCCAAAGCATATATTTTACTTCTTCACTGTATGGGTATATAATATTCCAGACCATCACAAACATCTTCACAATTTGTAATTTTGAACTGATGTGGAAAAGGTGCACAAATCTTGACTGGCTTTCCTCATTGGATACAACCCTTTAGTTTCAAGCAACCAAGGGGGACACAGCAGGTTGTTAATGTAACTAGAGGACTGGATTTGCAAGTTGATGGGATAAAGATTAGAAGCTCATATGCTCATGCTTTTTATAATATGAAGCCTCAATTTATTATAAACTATTGTATCATTTCTAGTAAGATTTTTAGTATATATTTTTTTCTTTCTAATTTTATTTTCTGTATAAGAAACTCCTGCCTGGCCCCCAATTATTTGTGACGTTATCATCAGGAAGCATTAACAGTAACACATGGGCAGTAATGAAGGCTAGTGAAAGTTAGGACCACCAAGAGTGAAAAAGTGTTGAATTACTTCTTATAAGAAGTCGAAATGAATTAGTTGCACTTTTAGCAGTTTTGAGAAACTGCTTGTTTGACTGCTTAAGTTTGTTCAATACTGAACTGCTTACACAAATTCTTAGCAGTTTTTTAACCAGTCTGTAAGCAGTTTTAAGGAATGCTAAGACTAAGACTGTTAAGAACTGCCTAAAAACTGCCAAAAAATTGCCAGACTGCCTAATAACTGTTTATAAACTGCTAAAATAAGCAGTTCACTTTGACTTGGGTAGGCCTACCATGTTTACATCAGATTTCCATTGAATTTTGGCCCATGAAGTTGCCTCACTGTTTGAATTGAAGCCTTAAAAATATACCAGCAAAAGAGGGTACATTTTGCCCCTTTGGCATATATCTTTGTATTTTATTGTCTATACATACCTATATGTGAAAGGAGAAAAATGTACTCAAATAGTGTGTTTTAAAACATTTGAAAATCTTGTTGGCCTTTCCAATCAAAATAAATTCACGTGCTAATTGAGGTACCAATGTAACATTCAAACCAACCAATCAGATAAATGAGTAGCATTTCAGGTGAATAATACAAAAATACAAATGCTAGGAAATTTTAGTATTTAAGAAAAAAAAACAACTTTTTTTTTTTTGCTTTTGGATAGACAATATTATTTTTTCATGCATTTTAGTCAGATGAAATATGAACCATACTTTGCTATTAATTATTTCTATGCTCACAATTAAAAACAATTGTTTTATTGACATACTTTCTAGAATTCTATTTTTCTCCACTCCATTTGGCAAGGGATTGATGGACAATTGCCTATATATATTCCCTTGTATCAGTGAATACAAATTTTATGTGCATTTCTTGACTTGTCCAAAAAAAATAGACAGGTTCCTCACATCATCATTTATAAATGGCCTATGTTGACCACTTAAAGTTTGAAATGTAGAAGAGATGGGATGTAAATTGACCTGAACCATATGTGTCTGTGATAAAATGCAAATTTGTTGTAAGCATCATTCATTCATTGGATTGGACAATTTTTGTCAATAAGCAACTCTTTGTGAACTGTGAAATAATAACAATAGCCCTTTAAAATAATTTCTCAGACCTGTATATCCTTCTTTAATACTTATCTGCCCATTCCTTTCATCTATATTAATAAAAGAAAAAAGCCACAAACCAGTTATAGCTGTAATAGCTAGGGTCTAAAAATTCCTCTATAATGTGGTATTCCTACAACTTATAAAGAATACAAACTATAGACTGATATTTATTTTCTCAAGGTGTTATTTTCCTTTACTCTTATTTTAAAATTACCAGATTGGTATGAGGTTTATTATAATTCATCGTAGAAAAGGGGCCCCAGATCATAGTTCCAGGAATTCATCCTTTAGTAAAAAATATATTTTTAAACATAAATTCTTAGGTATGGAGAAAATAAAGTACATATTAAGTTAAGTGTATTTCATGGATTGTAAATTTTATGTTTTCCTGTATTTTGTATTTCTGCATTTTGTTATCCATTTGATATTTCGATCTGTCCCAGATTGAAGATCAAAGAAAAATTTTTTTTTGTCTTGTCTGAAAATCTTTTTTTTTTCAAAAATATATGATGACCCTTTTTTTATAATGAAATGAGAATCACAAAAAGGAAATATGTATTTTTAATAATCTTTATTTATTACAGATTATTCTACTCCAGAGAAATCAAAAGTCAATGAGCTGCGAAAGACAGTTCAAGTACACATGAACGAATTATACAGTTAGTATAGATTTTATGATCATTTCAAGTCTAGTGTATAGAAGGGTGTTGAATTTTTTTTTAATTGTTAAAAGCATACAAATATATAATATATCTGAGATTTTTTATTGAACAGTATAGGTCAAAAGTGGTTTCAGTTTCTTCAGACCAGTTTTGTCCCTTAGCTACCATTTGGGTTCTCAAAGGGAGACGATGTTCCTTTTGTCAAAATCCGAAAATATATTGCATATACATGTACATGTATAATAATAAAAATTAAGTTTATTCCTGCTTTATAGCTGAAATCTAATTAAATTGGAAATGAATCATAAAATAAATGAAGGATTAATTTTTTATATCCCAATTCTAGAAAACATTTTAGTGTATCGACTTGGCTTAGCCAGAAATATGTCACAAACTTCAGTTTAAATCTCATTATAGATCAGTCATGTAACATGACAAGAATTAATGTTGATGGATACATCAAGCACTGGCCCTATCAAAATGTGTATTATTAACTACCTAATTAAATGATCAAAGTACAATATTAAGTCCCGAGAATTAAATTTTTCAAACTTCAGTGGTTTAAAGAAAAAAATCAGAAGTTTTAAAACTATCTTTAGTTCAGAATGTGTTGCAATGTTTTGAGTCTTAACATAAGTTAAACTCTCCAAATATGTTTATTTGTGGATATTTTAAAATAATCATTCAAAAATTTTTTTTATACCTATCAAGTTTGTGAATGTAATTAATTTCAAAACATTCTCCAAAGAGATGTAATATGCTCTGCCTGCTTCTGTCTCCTATTTATTTTCTTTACTTTGATAGCTTGATAAATTTTTCAAATAAGATTCCTATTGAAAAAAAATGCTTTCCCAGGATATATATATATAAATATATATATATTGTAATTAATTTTCAAAAGCTTTATTTAAATTCCTCCAAAAATGTGTAGACCCGCAGCTAAGGTCAGAATTGTAGAATCTTTTGTGGGTTACTTTGAAGATGAACACTAATAGTTCATGACTGATACTATGGAAAATGATGTAAAATTGTTTTAACAGGAAAGGCTTCAGGCAAAGCAGGGTGCTTTCCCTACAAGATGGTGCGTAAAGGGGATATTGTGGTGGAGGGACTTCCCCAGGCTGTCTTACCTTTGCACCCTCCATCACACTATGGAGAAGAAAAGCTGCAGCTGTTGTTATCTTGTCCCAGCATTTCAATAAAGTATGTGTATAATGGTCATATTTGATCAAAAGTGTTTGATACTTTAAAAAGCATTTAAAGGCACAAACCTTTAAGAGCCAGGGTTACACTGTATATGGTAGTCTCTTTATTTTGATAAAAAGAAAGAAGTAACACTCAGATGAATTTGCACTCTTAGCATATACCTAATTTCTACTGTAGAAATGCTTTGAACATTTCATTAAGCTTTAATTACATATAGTAGCTGATTCACATGTAAAGATCGAAATTCACTTATTCAAAGAAAATGTTTCCTTTCCTCTCTAACTCACAAGAAATTCAGAAGCTTAGATGAACAAGTTTGTCTACTTTATGTTTTTTCATGGAGAACATCACTACTTTGAATGGGCATATAAGCATTTCTACAGAAAAAAGACTGCTTCACTGCTCCTCCTTAATAGGGGAAATATTATATTCTCCTCC